AGCTGGGGTAAGCCATTGTACCTAAGCCTGACCCCCCAAACAATAATAACGGCGCTGTTCTAAGCATCGTCAACCAGCTTCATCTTGCCTATGACGCCTTCAAACCCGCTGCCGCCGATCGTGGCCAAAGGCGCCTCTACCGCAATCGGTGCCCAAACAAACCGGTCCCCGTTCCATCCCAGTACAGTCAGAAACTCCATGGGCTCGCCCTCCCCGACGTCCAGAAACGTCTGCGTGCCCCTGCTGATGAGGCTTGCATTCGTCCATTGCCCCACGGGAAATGTGTAGTTGAGCGCGTACGTGCTCTCCCCCGAGAAGAGCATGACGGCGTCCACGCTCCCGTTGCCGAACCACAGCCCGCTGTCTCCGCCGCTGAAGATGGCTCCCCTGGCTTCCGATGTGGGCTTGATGGTGAAGGAGAGCGTGTAGTTCCGCCCCTTTTGCACCAAAGGAGTCGCGATGCGACACGACGCCGCAAGGATGATGCCCTCGTTGCCCGTCGCACACGTTGACATGGCATGGTATTTGTTCCCCGACCTATCCTCCACAGTCGTGCCGTTGTTGCCCTGCCCCTGTCTGAAGTCGTATTCCACAATCGTCGGTCCCTTGGATGCGATTCTGCGATCCAGATTCTGCCCCGGCGCGAAAGGCTGCAGCGCGGAGAACAGAATTTCGTAATCGGCCTCGGCCACCTCGCCTCCCCACTGCTTGTCTGCCAGCGCAGGCAATCCGTCCCGCCACTGGAAGTAGCCCTCCGTCACGGTCGTTGCGTTCGGACCGTAGTCATTCCATTGCGGCGCAATGTGCCCCAGTAGCGACGGGCTGTCTCTCGCGACATTGTTGGTGACATTTTCGCGGTCAAAGATGTTGGGTGCAAAGGCCGATCCGTCCGGCGAGCCGTGGAAGATGAACTCGAGGCTTAAGGTTGGACCATACCATTGCGACCATTTCCCAACGGTATACACGTAGTCGCCCGAGTTCAACACGTCGTAGCCGTTGTTGACAAAGTCGTAGAGTGGGTTTGCCTCGAAGTTGGCCCAGTGCTGGATCGAGACTGATTTGTTGACGGTGCCGCCAACCGAAGGGGCAAACGTACCCCAGATGCGGACATGCTTCCCGGATGTGCTCGTGATGTGCTCGTTCATCTCATCCACAAAGCGTGTGTACTCTCCGACGAGTGCCCTTGACAGATAGTGAGCGCATACCCTTGACCCGGAATCCTGTAGTGACTTACTCTTCGCTCAACGTCGGGTCCACGTACTCATCCGCACCGATGGACACCGTCTTGGTGTGAAACCACGGCAGAAAGGTGTCCCAGATCTTCTTGACCGCCGGAATCGTTTCAGGGTTCGATATGTTCAGCAGGCTCAAGTCGCTGTTCAGCCCGAGCTCCGGCCTCCATTGCGAAATCACTAGCGCGTGCCCTGGCGCCTCGATCTCGGGCAGTATCGTGACGCCTCGCGCGGCGCATTTCGTCTGGATATCGTCAAAGACGTCACGTGTATAGGACTCGTTGGCGCGCTTGTTGAGCCCCTCGAGCGACGGGTCGTCGGACAGCAGGCGGAACGCGGCGTACAGCGAGAGGGTCCGCTCGCGGGAATAGATGGCGACGTTGTTGTAGAGGTTATCGCTGAGGTGCAGCTGGAACGTGTTTTGTTTGAAGAAGGACATGTAAGCGCACATCTCGACGAGGAACTCGGGGGGATAGTAGTGGCGGGCAATATCGAGCTACGGTATCAGGGGTCGGTGGGTTAGCGTCCGGGTTCTGGGGCCGGGTTCGGGACGCGGGGGGGCGGGGAGCGCCGCCCCGCGTCAGCACCGGGTAGCGGATAGAGGAGGAAAGGAAAGACATCTCACCATGATTCCCCGGGTGCCCCAGCCAGGCGTATCGGTCCCGTATCCCAACTTCACCTCGCCGTTGCCGAGGACCAGCTGCTGCAGAAGAGACCGGGTCCCCCACCACACCCCCAACGGACTCGCGCCGGTGATCAGGACTCCATCGATGGTCGCGTTTAGCGAATACCCCTCGGAACTCTCGCGACCCGCGGCGTCTCTGTAGAGCCCCGCATCGCCTAGCGTGAGGAAAATCGACCCCTGCTCTGCAGCGTCGCCAAGCTCGACGGGGATGTCGAGGTGAAGAGTAGAGGCGAGGTCAGAGGCAAAGGTTGCAGCGAATGAGTGCAGCGTCGGCGGGATCAGGGTCTGTCCGGCTTCGTCGACGGACTCTGCAAAGTCGGAGGAGACGATAATCTTGGTAAGGAAAGCGGGGGGCAGGGTGCCGCCTGTGGAGGTGAAGGGAACCGTTGGGAGGCCGGGAAGCGAATCTGCCACCACCGTGAGCGCAAGGCAGGTTGGGAGAAGTGTGAAGCGCATCGCGGAAGCTGAACTGCGTCAGTTCACCGTCACGATGTCGGGGCCGGTTCGAGGCATCTTGTTTGACTGGAGGATGGGCACTATATAGCCGCTTGCACGCACTGCTTATCAAGGTAACCATCCGGTCTGCGCGGTGACAATCACACGAGGAGCATAGTTTCTTGCAGACGCGGGGCGACTAGGTTGGAGACGTCGAGCGTGGAACGACGATGCCAAGCCGTCGGCGCGGTGGGAAAGGGAACGAAGAGCTACGCGTTTGTAGAAGGTAACATCCGGACTGAACACTACAATAACGCCGCCATATGGACGGCAGCTGTATGGCATCATAATGCATACACATGCAGGAAAAGGCCGATACGGAGACGCAGTCGCTCAATGTAAGGCACCGCATCCTGCGGGACATGAGGGAGGACATACAAGTGCATCGGGGCCAAGGTTGGTTGATTTTCTAGCAACGTTGGACGCAACTGTGGTAACCCCAAACGTCGAGCCGATAATCGAAGCTACAAGGATGTTTAAAGCACACGAATATCTCGGTACCGTGGTACCATACAACCAGGCTTGCAGAGTTCGGGGTTGGGGGTTAGGTTAGAGAGAGGTCTGATAGCAACGTTGCAATCTCCCTGTCTCCCACCCCCCATGGTTCGTTGCAGTGTCCCAATCTCCGCCCATATCAAAAGTCCGGGCCTAGGGTGGAGCTCAACCCCGAAACGAATATTACCGGCCGCTCGTTCACGTATTTCCGCTTCTTCCCCTCCCTCCATCATGCCCGGATTGGGAGTTCATGGCCGGGCTTTCTTGAGTGCTCTGCCGCAGGGACGGGACGAGCGGCAGGGTATCTATGGAGACCACAGCAAGGTGTTGGAGGGAAGGAAAAGGCGATGTTCAGGGGTAGGAGATGGAAGAAAAGACGTTGCCGTCTCGATCTGTTGGGATGTCGTGGCGTGACGATTACAGTTTGGGTCGACGCTCTCGTCGATGGGCTTTCAGAACGGGAGACTGGGTATTGGGATTAGAACTGTAAAAAGGAGGCATGTGGCTTCGATCAACCATATGTCACATTATGGGATGGATCTCTGAAACCACCAGCGGTCATCACCAGAGCCGAGGCGGCGTAACGCCTGGTGCTACACGTACCATCTATCAAGAGACCGCTGCATGTGAAAGTAGATAGCCTCAACCGGCGCCCCTCAAAGCACCGCGCGTACCGGATTCTCATCTTGCAGGTGAGACACGAACCGCACGGCGGCACTCAGTATGGGCTCGCCGCTGAGCTGCGCCTCGTACAATGCCCAGCCCCTGGGCTGCGAGAAGACGCCGTCGTACTGCGCGCCCGTCATCGTCTCGGCCTCCCCGCCCGTCGGGCTCGTCAGCGCGGCCAACTCCAGCGGCGTCTCGCCCCCGTCCCTCCTCCCCGGGTCCGCCCGGGCACGCAGCATCTCCAACACCTCGGCCCATGACCCCGCCGTCAGGTGCGGCACGGACAGGCTGAGCGACGCCAGCCGCTCGCCGACGAGGACCCCGAGGTCGTCGGCGCTGAGGCACGCGCCGCGCAGATCCAGCCGTCGCAGAGACCGCCAGCCGCGCGGCGCGGCGCCCAGCACCGTGTCGAGGGCCCAGAGGTCCTGGTTCTCGCGCCGGAGCGCCGCGAAGTCGAGGACGGCCTCCTCGAGCGCCTCCGACGCCAGCGCCGCGCTCCCTGACCGTCTGATAAAGATAGGGTGCCGGATTTCTAGGAACGAAGACACAATTTGCATTTTGGGTGTCATCCCGCTGGATTAGGTCTAAGTAACGTTCATAGACAGCGACGTCACCCACGGAGGCACCGGAGACAATCGTGATTCAAGCCATCGGTTTACCATCCTCAAAAGATGCTGAAAAACTGAGCATTCGAGGGTGGTCGGTACCAGCAGTTATC